AACAGTAATTATAAGGCATCAAATCATTTGTACACATTGCATCTTCAGTGAGTAAACTTGTAGACATCACTTGAGGTAAATCAACAACAACTAATGTATGGTCATGTATGGGTGTATGTATAAACGTACATTACATTTAAAACCAAGCAAATACACTTATTTAGCATTTTCGATGCATTAACATTAAGAAGTAAAATATGTTAATCCATTTAGCAGTAGAGTTAGTTCAATTTATCAAACATGTATATTTTAGACATGGGTAAGCTCATTTCTACTAACAGAAATAGCGTTCTTCAATATGATGTAAATAGAGATGCATTACTAAATTTTGTACTTTTACTGCTCAAGAATATAAAATTCTCTTAATTGGTCAAATTGGAAACGCTAGAAGATCTTAAGGAGATTTTAATAATTGGAAACCCGGATACTTGGTCGGAAGTAAAAAAAGTTCTTATCGGTAATCATAGCGAAAAAAAACAGTTGATGAACTCATAGACAAATATGAGTTTGTAGATGCGATTTTACAATTGAAGCTTTAATTAATTCTTTTAATATTATATTATGTCGGTTAAAAAACGCATTAATTTGAAGCGGGAATAGTTCTGAAAGTATAAATAGTGAAAGTAATGATAGAATTGCTTTAAATTCATTTAAGTATGGTTTACCAGAGCCAGTCGAAAGTGTTATTATAAGTAGAACGACCATACCAGTGCGACACTCAACTCTTTTAACCAACGAAATTTTAGTTCAAACCATAGCAATCAAACAAGCAGAACGAATCGTAGCTCACGTAGTTTTAATAATCAAAATTAATAACAGACTGTTAAATAACAGATGTCGAAATTGTTTTAACAATGGAAATAGGAGTCAAAGAAAACAACCAAAATTTTCAATCAGGGGGCCAAGAAAATTACCCTATATAACCATTGAAACCCATTTAAGAAAGCTTAAGTTTATAAAAGATACAGGTGCGGAGTTAAGCATTATAAACCCAAATGTCTGTAACCCCAAATGGATCATACCACTTTAAATGCAATAAATCGGTGTGTTAATACGGACATACACTATAGTTTTCCTTTGTTTAAAGAATTTAATAAACCAATTTAATGTTAATTTCCTGGAATCAAAATTTCATAACTATTTTGATGGCCTAATAGGTAACAGTATATTGTTAAATACTTCGAAAAAATCAGTTGATGAACTCAACTGTTCAACGTTACCAATTTTTTTTGTGAAGAAGAAAAATTTATTTTATCTAAAAAATAAACATTTGAAAATATTTGTATGCAGAAGAAGAAAGCATATACGACTCGTTAGTTGGTATTTTTCCTGAACATTTAAATGAATGACATATAAAGATGGGGAAAACTTACCTTTTTGTTGTGGAATTCGTCATCGAATCATAACGAAAACTGACACTCCTATAAATAGTAAATTGTATAGATACCCAGTGATACATCGGGCAGAAGTCGGCAAGCATATACAAGAACATAATATCTCCTAGTAGTAGTCCTTACAATTCCCGATTATGACAAAACAAAAATGGAGAATTTTAATCGACTACCGGAAATTAAATGAGCAAACGAGAATATAATGTAAAGATACTGTTAGATCACAATTGCAAGCCACTGTGTGCGAACAACCGTGAGAGGCACTGTAGATTAGCGGATAACTAGATAATACTTAAATAAGATAATCAATTCTCACTTTTTAACATATACACACATCTAAGTACTTGTACTCTCTCTTACTTTTGTTACAATTCATGCTAGTACGTAATTGGAATAACCGAAATAAATTTATTATACTATTGTCGCTCAACAAAAGCATATCTGGTCTTTTTTTATAACACTGCGTTATTATACGAATACACACCCCGACAAAATTATTGTTAATTAATGTCATCAAGAAAAAGCTCTTGACAAAACAGTTTGGATCCCAACGTGGGGCCAGTGTATATTCGCGAAAATTGATTATAAATAATTCGGAAAAAATCGTAGTATTCTATAAAAGTCAAACACACAAATTCGGTCAAAAGCTTAATACATACCATTAATATAAAGCAACAACAATCAACTCAAGCAAAAATAGGTACATTGGATTTCAAAGGACATATTCGGAAATATATGGTACATGATTCGGTATGTATGCATATAAATCCATTACTTGGCAACGGAGTCATTTTGTACATTGTCTGGTATATAAACCTATCACTTGCCGAGCTGCTCAGGCTAGCTAACGTCGAATTCTTTGCTGCTGCTTCTCTTCCGCTACTGTTCGTTATCGTTGCTCATCTGCATTCGTTGCGAGCATAAGTCACCGTTGCACTTTGCTGCTGGTATATCGCTGCCCTCGCTTAACTTTCGCTGCCCACACATCTTCGTATTGTGTCGCCTATATTGCTGTTTTCTTCGCTGCTGTCGTTTGCGTCATTGATCGACTACCGGCACTTATCGCAAGCCACTTTACATTTCGCTAAATCAGCATCAAACTAAGCAGAGCATACATACACACCAAAAAAAAATAATGTCGCTAGAGGAATGCAAGCGAAATTTTTCGCGCATCAAATCCATTGTTGAAGCAGCTAAGGAATCAGATCAAAAGCTCTCCAATGCCGAATTACAGTGTCGTCTGTTAATTCTCGAGTCATACTTTAAACAAGCTTTATTGGTTCAAGCTGATATTGAAGACTTAGATCCCGCTGACAATGGGTGCGCAGATCTGGAGGAAAGTTAAGTCGCCGTGAAAATCACCATCCAAGTCAAGCTAGGAGAAGATGCAAACAGCACTGTGCACTACCCCGAAGCTGCCGCAGCAGCAACGGTTACCACAGCGTCCCATCTATTTCGATTGTCGTTGCCAACATTTAGCGGTGATTTTGCAGACTAAAAGAACTTCATTACGTCGTTTACCCAACTCATTGCACTAGTGCCCAGGCTTGCAAATATTGAAAAATTTAATTATCTTTTGTCCTACTTGAAAGAGCACTAGAAACTGTCAAGGCATTTCAAGTTACAAGCGAGAATTACCCAAAGGCGTTAGATAGATTAAAGGAACGTTTCGATAACCCAACCCTTATACTTCTAGAAGGCATTGCCTCGCTATTTACTCTAGAATCTGTCGAAAGGTCAAACCCTCAAAAATTGTGCAGTCTAGCCGATAACGCTTCAGCCACTTTCAGCTCATTACAGTCATTGGGTACAAGTACCAACATCGCTCAAGCAATGGTTATATATGTCGTCATAAGCAAATGCGATCACGTAAAAAATGGAACGAGTCCCTGGATTATAAAATGCTTCATACTTGGGCTGACTGCACTAAGGTATTAGAAAGATACTGCCAGTTTTTACATTCATCTGAATCATCAGAGTAGTGCAAACTCGAGTTTACAAAACCCATGCGCTCAAACAATCGCAACAAACAATCGTCATTTGTAGTAACAAATTCGAATTGTATACTATGCTCCAGCTCCAATCATAAGCTTAGGACCCTCAGTTTAGAGAAAAAAGTACCAATCAACGGTTTGAAATTTCTAAAAAGTACGACTTATGCATCAATTGTCTGAGTAATAGTCACAGAAAGGCCCAGTGTCCTTCGAAGCATCGGTGCCGTACCTGTAATCGGCCACATCAATCCTTACTATATCACGACACCAACTCACAAGGCACGATAACCTCTCAGACGACGACTACAACCCCTGATTCAGCACTTTCTTCCCAGACCCCAAATACTTCTTCTAACACCTCCCAAGCCGCTACACAATCACACATGGAGGCCTATAATTGTGGACAAGTTATTTTGGCTACAGCTATGATCCTAGTAAAGGATTACACAGGTGCTTACAAACTTGGAAGGGCGTTACTTGACTCCTGTTCCCAGGTCAACTTCATTTCTGACCACTTTGCTCAAAAACTTCGTCTTCGTCGAGAAAAGCATCACGTTGGCTTTTATTGTATCAGTGAGTCACTCACAAATCTCAAATCTCGGACCAGTACAACGATCAAGTCTAGCACTTCAGGTTTTCAGCGTACCAACCTGACACCGAAATCGACAAGTCTGCTTGGAATTTGACAGTTAACACCACATTGGCCGATGAAACCTTCTCTAAACCACGTCGAATCGATTTGCTGCTCGGGACAGAGGCGTTGGCCAAATACGCCTTGGTCCAAATCTACCTACCCTTTAGAAAACATTGTTCGGTTGGGTTGTCTCTGGTAGATACCGTAGTCAGCATAATATGGCAACATCGGCTTGTTTGATGTCTAGTGAAAGCACCATCGACGAGAGCCTACAACATCTATGGAAACTAGAAACCATAAACGCTCATATTTGCGAAGATCACTTCATAAAGACAACATCTCAGGATGCTAAGGGTCGTGTAATTGTCAGTTTATCATTCAAGGAAAATCCCATTTGCCTTGGAGATTCCTTCGATATCGCTCACAAACATCTTTGAATGATATTCTGTTGGTTGGACCTACCATCCAAAATTTATATATGCTTTTACTTCCCTTTCGCTTATATCGTTTGGCCCTCACTGTAGACGTCACCAAAATGTACAGGCAAGTACTCATGAATAACAATGATTGCAAATACCAGTGCATTCTCTGGCGAGCTTTTCCTGACCTAGATCTCCAGACATATCACGGTCACTTACGGCACAGCTTCAGCACTATACCTCGCAGTACGTAGTCTTCATTATTTGACAGATCCAAGCATGGACGAGCTTCGGATTGGCGCTTTAGCAGTAAAGACCTCATTGTACGTTGATGACTTTATATGTGGTGCAGATGATGTTGACGTTTTGCATATACTCAAATCTGAAGTCATCGAAGTACTTCGACGCGGCCAATTTCTATTATCAAAATGGCACTCAAGCCACCCCTAGTTCATGGAAAATCAATCAGTAAAGAACCTCAACATTTGTGATGAATTCGTAACCAGGATGTTAGGAATAACGTGGCATCAACATCTCATTCCAGTCGAAAAAAGAACACAATATGGCTACAAAGAAGACAATATTGTCAATCACCTCATCCCTTTTTGATTCACTTGGTTTGTTATAACCACTGCTAATGACAACCAAACTCAACCCCTTAGCAACCTTGAAGTCGGTCTCATCACTCACCGTACCCTGCTATTGCTTGCAACCTGATACACACAATATACAAATTCATGGATTTTGCGATGCATCAATACGCGCCTACAGTTGTTCAGTTTATCTTCGTACGCAGAGCTCGCATGGTCAAGTCGACGTACACTTACTAACATCAAAGTCCAGAGTCGCACCAGTAAAGAAGCAGTCCCTTCCCAAACTTGAACTTTGCGATGATCATCTTCTCGCTTGTCTCTATGCTAAAATGAAAGACATATTCTCGACCGGATCAGTTACCACTTACTTTTTGACCGACTCACAACTAGTCTTGCATTGGCTTCAACAGTACTCGATTACGCTATCAACATTTGTCGGAAATAGAGTATCAGACATTCAAGCGCTTACAGTAGGTGAGCATTGGAAGCATGTGCCAACGAAAGACAACCCGGCGGACCTGGTCTCCCGGGGTTGTTCCACGCAGGACCTTATTTCGTCCAATTGGAGGAGAACAAATGGCCGAAGAGCAAGGCTCCAATTGATCTTAACAATGACGTAATCAATGCTGAGAAACGCAAAATGGCCTTAACAATCATCAAGGACACAAACTATGTTCGCGATATCACAAATATTAGCAGTTCATATACCCAGTGCTTACGTTTCGTTGCATGGTTATTTCGTTTCTGCTGCTGGTGCAGAAAGAAATCTACACCCACTGTTTTCTCATCCGACCACGCGCATTATATTGTGTCATTTGGAATTTACAGCAACAGCATTTTTCTCTCGATTTTCAATTACTCAAAAAAATTAATCAGTAAAAAGCAATTTAAAATACCTAAATCCCTTCATAGATAAGATTACCGGATTCGAACTCATCAATGTTGGAGATCGCTTAGGCTTCGCAGATTTGCCGGGCGCTCAAAAACACCCTATTTTACTGCCTAGCACTTCGCAATTTGTACTCAATTACGTTCGATATCTACATAGAAGGAATTATCACGCTGGTTCTAAAGCATTGGTTGCCCTGATCCGACTGGAATATTGGATTGTCAACGACAGAGATTTGACACTTCGTGTTGTTCGGTCTTGCGTACATTGCGTACGATATAAACCAGTCCTAGCTCAACAAGTCATAGGACCACATCCGGCCACACGTATCACTCTCGCTCGCCCATTTGAGCGCTGTGGAGTAGACTTCTGCGGACCAATAAATATTTACTTGCGGATTCGAGGTAGAGCTCCCACAAAATCCTACTTGGCTGTGTTTGTTTGCTTCGTCACCAAGGCAGTACTTACTGAGGTTGTGTCCGATCTCTCAACGCATTCATTCTTTAATGCTCTAAAGCGTATGGGTGGTCGCAGAAAACTCCCTTGTGACATCTTTTGCGACAACGCTATAAATTTTGTTGGAGCGTCCAACTAATTGAAAGAACTGAAACAATATATTTTCAAAGCTAATACTCAGGAAGAAATATATAAATTTTGTTCATCTGAATTTATTAACTTTCACTTTATTCCTCCCAGGGCTCCTCACTTTGGCGACCTCTGGGAAGCTGCAGACAAAAGCGCAAAAGGACTATTAAAACGAACATTAGCGAATACAAGATTGATATTCGAAGAACTTAGTACTGTTGCCGTCGAAGTTTTTTGGTTGGCCCTTCTCTACGCGCTTATTCAAAGACAGAAATATGTCAAACACAGATCGGTACGATGGGAGAAAGAAAAATGTTGTTCAAAAATTCTCAACAAAAAAAGTTGAAATCTTGCAAAAAAAAAAACAGCAGAATCCGATCTTATTAAAATTATGCAATCAATATTAATAGACAAGGGAATAATGTGTATTTATTGCAAAATGATGACCTTTTTATTGAGTTTCAAAATATTTACCTAACTAATTTTAATAAAAAGTCCTTAGCCTTATATCAATCAAATATAAAGCTAATTGATATAACTAACAAAGACTATCTGTTGACTATCATTGAAAATGAACATCTTCTCAATAACCACAAAGGTATACAAGAAGTATTTTTGGAGAAGAAAAACAAATATTTTTACCCGAATCTTTATAAAATGATAACACTTTGCATAAGTAATTGTTCAATTTGTACTATGGCTAAACACGACAGAATATCCTTAAAAATACCTTATAAAATTTCAGAAACCCTTACACACTTTAATGGCATAGTTTATAAAGATATTTGGTATCCTCGTAGAAAAAAAATGTATTTGACAACAATTGATAAATTTTTGAAGTATGCTTACTTACTTTACTGGCGCAGACACCGCTTACTCGATTTTGGCTGAAATTTGGCCATTTCATAAATTAAACGACAGAAATTGGATAGCTATTCTAGCTAACTTTGAAAGAACGTATTTGTTTTCTGAAAAAAATGGATAAACTTATTTTTTATAACGATCGTTGCATTTAACATTTCGCAGTTAAGTTATTTTTGAATGAACAAAATATTAAGCCACACGTAAAAACGGCTTACCTTAAGACAGGAGATTCTAATATTGAACGCCTTTCAAGTCATAAAACAAAATACTTAGAAAACAATCTTTTTGAAATTTCAACTACAAAAAAGTGACCAATTGATTTTATAATAAAATATTATGACTAAGATACATCTCAGATCACTTTCCGAAATGAGATTCACCGTCACCAGATCCGTCCGGCTTATACGGACGCGGACCCTCAATGTTGCGCCTAAATGACAGTCTCATTCGTGGTTTTTATGGTCGTTGCACGTGCGCCCCGATATCGGTTCTCAAAATGTTGGGTAGATATTCGGCTCGTGGTCTTACTTTCTTTCTCTTGACTTCTTTTCTCACTAGGTGCTTATTAATTCTCGCCGTATTCTCTTTGGACCATTTGCGGTTCACCCTCTCTTTACGCTGCCTTGCTATGTCTGACTTTATTTGCGACTATTGTAAGATTACACCGGTTATATTGTTTTGGTTCTTCTCCCTGTTTGCCTGCCTGGTCGACCTGTCGTTTCGCTTAACTGCCGTTTTGGTGAAGCTGTTGGACGTCCTTGACATCTTATCCAATCTCTCTAGGTTGTCCACAGTTGGCTTTGTTATATAATTTGAAGGTGGGATCCCAGGACTCATATTTACTGTGGAAGTGCGATGCTCTAATTCTTCTGCTAACATGGTAGTGCATAAAACAGCATCCTCTTTCTTTCTCTCGTAGACTCAGTGATTCTCCTCCGCATCAGAATTCTACTCTTGCCTTTGTTAAGTAGTCCATCCCGATCACCAATTCGTCGGCCAGCTCAAGTAGTACAAGCAACTCATTCTTGAGAAGTTCATCTTTCAGTTTCACTTCGGTTTCTACGGATTTAACTGCTACCCTCGTTTGGCCACCACTAATCACTACTCGTACTCTTACTTCCTTTGTTCTTCTACCAAGTATTCTCGCCATCTTACTACTCACAAGACTCCGTGTGTATGCCGAAACGTCTGCATCTCCAACAAAACTTCTTCACACTCGTGCTGCGACAGCAGTGTGCGTAGCAGAAGGGTTCTTATCCACACCGTCAGCATGCCGTAACGCCCCTGCGCGTCTGGTTGCGCTCCACTCTCCTTGGAGACCGAAACCAGGGTAGGTCTTCATATACGTGCTGGTAGCATTCTGCTCCATTTTGCCGATATTTGCTTTTACAGTTCCATCAAACCTCCTTGGTTGCTTTCGTCTTTCGGTACTATGTGGTTACCGAAAGCCCTCTTCCTGGTCTTCATCCACGTTCATAAAAAGGTACTTCTGTTCTGGTCGTAGAGGTACAAACGGTCTTTATATTGTGTCCGACCTCCTTTGCTCGATTCGTTTCTCTTTTATATGCAAGTATTGATTACGCCCTTCTCATTTCCGTATTTAAAATGGCCGCGCAGTTGCCCTTAGCGGCTCTCTCTCGGGAGGAATGCTCTCAAAATCTTCAACGAGATCTAGCAACTCCGTGTAGTTCGAATGCCGCATAAGTCCTTGTAGCAGCAGGACGTTTTCTTTAAAGTGCTCACCTGGTCGTTGGGCGCGTCTCAAAATTGACTTCCCAAAAAATCCCTTTTAAAAACATCCCATTCCTTCCAGTGCCGATTTTTGTTACGGATGTCGATGATACGTTCACTTGTTTTTCTTTGTGAAACATGCCACATGTCGTAAAATAACAACAATTCAATTATTTATTAGTGATATAAATATTTACATATATAATTTCTAATGGTTTTCTACAACACATATCTACTTTCTTGGTACTAGCTCCCTTTCCAGTGAGGTGAAAACCCTCAGAAACACTTCGTTTGCCGATCGTGTTGATCCCCCGGGCAACTCTTACGACAGCCGGTTCCACGCACCGGAGTTGACCCAGATTTTATCTGGCCAAAGGCTGTCACCCTTTCAGCGACCTAACCCTGTTTAGGTCAACAGGTTACATTAGTCTAAGTTCGCCAACGGAGCAACACCTGGCAGCTGGTGTCGAAACCAACCCTGGTCTGACGGACTATTTCTGCTGCATGTGTCATAAAAGAATCCACCACTCTTCCATCTCGGTTAGATGCAACTAGTGCAATGATTGGAGTCGCCTTAAGACCTGCTCAGGCCTTAAGACCCACAGGAAGTGGACCACGAGCTATGTGGCCCCATGCTGCTAGCGACAAATCGCCTTCCCAGCCTCCATGGCAGTGCCTTCGGCACCTTTACCCACTCAGGGTAATCATCTTCCTTCCGTGCGAGGGCTACCCGGCAGCTCCCTGCGCGCGAACTGTCCTGGTAGCACTGGATTTGTCAAAAGCTTTTGACACAATCAATCATTCAGTGCTACTAACGGACATTGACTAATCCTCATTACCGCCGGGGTTGCAGAGGTGGGTATGGGCTACCTCAGTGGTCGACAGTTATGTAATATTCTAAGGTGTAATATCGAAACCCAGAAAAATTAAACTGGGGGTTTCACAGGGTTGTGTCCTCTCCCCTGTACAGTGACTTAAAAAATTCTACAGGGTAGCTGACAACTTCATCTGGATCAACGACACTGTTGACAATTGGCATACAGCAAGAGCAGAGCACCACCGAAAAGCTTACGATTACTTCTTATATCTTTCAGGAACCTGTCAAGAGCTCCTAGCGAGTTATTATGGGCCATTGTGCATTCTCCATCCTCCTTGCTGTGTGGCTATCGTTGCGTTGATTTTATTGTATACATTTCGTTGCTCAGCAGTAAGCAATTGTTCGTTATTAGCAACAAAATCGGCCAAAGAGTTTATATAAAATTGTTGTTCGCGTTGAGCATCGCGGTTAATAATATCTGCTGCTGAGCGATTGGGTGCTGGCATGCCAAAATGAATGAGCGGTATGTTCGAAATAAGATACAAAAATCTTCAATAATTATTAATGCCTCATTATATATGTCTTGGTCCAGGGACGTTTATTAATTACAAACGTAGAAAAACAGCATTAACGTTGCTTGGGATGAAATTGCCATTAATACATTAGGAAATCCTGGGAGTGGAATTCCTCGTTTCCGTGGATCCCAATGTTTTGATTGTTTATTCCATGTGAAATACTTAGGAACATCAGTATACGCTAATGTTTTTAAAAATTGACCAATATCCAATTGACCAAAGGTTGAAAACTTCAGTAAGAGCAGTTTTTGGAGCTGTTAAAGCTCTTTCTAATGCAGTCTGTTCTACGAAGTAAGCACGCTTTCCATTTTCAAGATGCACATCCAAATGTAAAGCATTTTTGAAAAGATGAGAAAAGAGCTAATAATAAGCAAAATTTCAAGAAACAATATTTTTTCGAATAAGTCAGTCCCTTTTCCACACCTCTGAGAGTATAATAGTTCTTTTAAAAATATAGAACAAAGCTGATTATGGTCAAACTTCAAGAAAATCGAGCAATTAACAAGATTTATTTTAGTAGTAGTAGTCTATGGTCCACCTCTCGGAAAAGAGTAGTGTCTTCCTGTTAGTCTAATTAAATATCACCAATATACTGAATTTCAAGATAATCTACGCAAGCTTTCTACCGGTCTTAAAGTAAATGAAACATAAAAAAGTATTTTTTTAATAAGTTAGTCTATGGACCACTTCCCGGAGAGAAGAAGTCTTCCTCTTAATCTGAGTAAAATAACACATTTGTACTGAATATCAAGTAAATTGAACATAAACAAGATTTCTTTAAAAAGGTCAGCCCATGCTAATCAAAATAGAGAAATGTGCAATATTTTTTCGAATAGGTCACTTTTCCTGAGAGTATAATAGTACTTTTGAAAATATTGAAAAAAGCTAATTATGTGCCAGGCTTCAAGAAAATCGAGCAATAACCAAGGACAGTCTATGGTCTACTTCTCGGAAAGAAGGATTGTCTTTCTGTTAATCTTAGCAAAATATAAACTATGTACCGAATTTCAAGCTAATCAAATA